CTGAGCCATCTCTCCAGCTCCGGAAAGATCCACTTCTAATCTAGACTTTTGAGCTAGGAGGACACGCCTTAATCCAGACCTTCTGAGCTGGGAAAAGACCTGCTTTAATCCAAATCTACTTTGGGCCACACTTTCTGATGGAAGCCCATATAAGGACACGGAAAAGGGAAGCTTCTGTTCTTTGCTTGCCCTTAACTTGCTAGCAAGTTTGCTGACGTTAGAGTCCAAGTCTTCAAGATTCCAGCACAGATGGAAAGCCAGCTGAGACATTCAGCCTTGTGGACTGAGCAGCTACTGAATTCTTAGACTTTCTGTTCACAGCCAGCTGTTATTGGATTAGCTGGACTACAACCTGTAAATCATTCTAGTAAATCCCACCCCCCACCCCCATTTTTTTTTTTTTTTTGGTTTTTCGAGACAGGGTTTCTCTGTAGCTTTTGGAACCTGTCCTGGAACTAACTCTTGTAGCCCAGGCTGGCCTCGAACTCACAGAGATCCACCCGCCTCTGCCTCCCAAGTGCTGGGATTAAAGGCATGCACCACCACTGCCTGGCCCCATTTTTATATATAGAAAAAGATTTGGTCTATAAGCTCTTTTACTCTAAAGCATCAGTTCTCAATTTGTGGGTTGCGGTCACTTTGGAGTCAAACAACCCTTTCTCAGGGGTCACCTAAGACCATCAGAAAACACAGGTGTTTACATTATGATTCATAACAGTAGCAAAATTGTGGTTATAAAGTAGCAACGAAAATAATTTTATGATTGGGGGTCACCACAACATGAAGAACTGTATTAAAGGGTCACAGTGTCCAGCACAAACAACAACTATGACCACAAAACACGCTCTCCCCCCCAAAACAAGCCTGACCCATCTGGTTAAACTGTAATTTAAAATCTGTAACTCTGGCTAGTGTGTAACTCAGTGAGAGAACCCATGTTTAGCCTGGGTGCAATTCCCAACACGAACAAAATTGCATCTCGACAGTTATAGTAACTAGTGCCATTTTCACAATAATTTATAGTCCTGGACTGGTTAGTAGTTCTTCCTCATTTCCTCCAACTTCCTGTTCTGGACAGTTCTTATAAACAGGGCAATACAATATTTGGTCTATTATGATTGGTTTCTCAGCAATAGGCTTTCAAGCTCACCCACGAACTGGAACTTTGTTCTATTATATTCTATGTGTCATTCTGTTTACCGTCAGCAGCTGAGGGCCCTGTGGGTTTCTACTCAGAGGAATAATGCTGTGTTGAACATTTGTGTCCACTGTTATGTGTGGACAGGAGTTCTTGTTTCTCTAGGTACATTCCTGGGATTGGAATTGTGGTCATAAAGCAAATATATGTTTAACCTTTGAAGAATGGCCAGACTGTTTTGCAAAATGGGTGCACCAGCAGTGTGAGAGGGTCACTGCTTCTCCCCGTCCTCACGGACACTCACTGTCCTGTGCAAGCATCCTAGTGGACAAAGCAGTATTTCACTCTGTTTTTTTGCATGTTCTTGGCTAGTGTTGTTAGCATGTATTTGTTGGCCATCTATATAGCTTCTCTGGGGAGATGTCTATTCAGATCCTTTGCACTTTTAAAAAATGGGTTGTGTTTTTATTGAGTTGTAGGGGTTTTTTTTTTTGGATTACAATGAAGTCCTTTAGTAAGATAACATAAACTTTTGCAGAAAGTTCCTCCCATTTTTAAAGCTACCTTTTCACAATCTCTCTCTCTCTCTCTCTCTCTCTCTCTCTCTCTCACACACACACACACACACACACACACATCCCTGAGTCTTTCTAGTAGCCCTGGGTTTCCTGAAACACACTCTGTAGACCAGGCTGGCCTTGACCTCCAGAAATCAGCCTGCCTCTGCCTCCAGAGTGCTGGGATTAAAGACGTGCCCTACCATGCTGGCTTCTTTCTTTTTTTTTTAAAGACAATGTCTCATTCTGCAGTCTGGACTAGAAGCCACTATGTAGTCCTGACTGCCAGGACTACCAAGCCTGACTTTTTTTTAAGTACCAGTCCCAGACCCTCATACATGTTACCTAAGCAACCTGCTGCAACCCTAGATCTTCACCCTTTAATACATAAAAGTTGGGTGCTGGGAGGTTTTTATTTATTTTTTCCTCCTTTGTTGTATGCAACTTAGACTTTTTCTTGCTTGTTTTCTGTGGTTCTGGGCTTCAAACCCAGAGCCTTGTCCGTGCTAGGCTCTACCACACTTCGAGAGACATTACTGAAAGTCAACTTGCAACTCTAAAGCCACTGAGATAATGTAATAGGCTGTGGAGAGGGATTTCTTCCATGTTTGGGGATGAATTCTCTGTCAGCAGCAGCAGGCCTTGGCTCCTTCTCAAAGCCAGGGAATATGGCCCCTGGGGACCTATCTCCTGTGTTTACACCCCTCCCTTTCCTGAAGTCCACAATAGAGCAGCCGAAATGACAGTTTGGAAAGGTCCTTTATTGTGAAAACCCAACGGCCTTTGTCTCTGGGATTTGAAGTTTTCATTCAGAAGGAGGTAGGGAAGGGATGAGAAGCCCTGCATGGTTCCTCGTGAGTCATCTTGACTCTAGGTTGTTTGGTTTTCTCACCCATAAACTAGGGAGCACAGTTCCATTCTCCCATCCTAGCGGAGGGGCTGTGAAGACGAATTAATTTGTATTTGTTAGACACTTTGAGACCTTAGATTAAAAGCATTACTGAGACTCAAGGTGTTATTATAATAATAAATGATTTAATAGCAGGGTGAGGCTGTTGAAGCAAGAGCCGAGTGGGAAGGCCGAGGAGGCTCAAGGCTGCAGCTCCAAGCCGAGGGGGCGCTGCTTGAGATCCTGGTTCAGACACCACACCGACTCTCGGAGGCAGGAAACTCTAGTTTCTCATAAACCCTGGGTTGTTTCACCCGACTTTCAGCATAGCCTTATTGAATGCTTCCGACATAAGTTCTGCTTCCTACATAAGCGAGATTACAATCTTTTCAGGAAACAGGCATATAAATTAAAGCAATTAGAATCAACACGGGGCGTTAGACACAAGTGCAGGACAGAACAGGAGTCTGGAAGGAAGTGGAGGAAGAGCTGGGTAAATGCTGTTTTCCCTGTTAATGACTCCCAGCTCTACCACCCACCAGCTGTGTGACCAAGCCTCAGTTTCTCCTGTGACCGCAATTGTTCTTGTAAAATTCTCTAAGTAAGGCTAACACAGTAAACGCTTCTTCTGTGTCAGACTAGGCTTTGGCTGACTACATGATCTAGGCCAGCCTGCTCCATCCCCGGAGCCTCAGTATCCTCCCTGTCCCTTTCTGGCAATCTTGGCTCTCCCACCTGCGCTGCCTTCTAGCTTGCCCCTCTTCAGGCCTAACGTGCCGACTAAGTAATTTTCTGGGCCTGCCAGGAGGAGCGGGCAGTCAGGAACAAAGGATACCGACTTGTCTACACCTCACCTTAGCCTCCGCAGGGATCCCGTTTCAAACCCACCTAAAAGCCATTTCCTCTCGCGCTCTCCGCCCCGCCCCTCCAGTAAATCACTAGGTGTTTTCCCTGGAGCAGCACTTTTTTTTTTTTTTTTAAGAGTGGTAGTTTTTTTTTAAAGGATGGTTTAAGATTCCCACTTGGCTACACCTGGCCTTTTAAATGCTGGTGCAGAAGCCCCATTTCTGTTCCAAGGACCCCGTGCCTGCATCTAACCGGGGAATCCCACCTCTTCTGTGGTCTCATCCTGGGCTCTCATCTCCCACCCCTCTTCAAGGTGGGTGTTGGGACAGAACCTAACTTCAGGTTTATGCTGCGGCGGGGGCGTAGTCGCACACACCTGTAATTGCAGCACTCTGGCGGTGCGCGTACAGTTCAGGGCTAGCCTGGGCTACAAAGTGTGGTCCTATCTCAAATCAAAAAATAAAAACAGTAATTAGGGCGTGGTAGCGCACACCAGTAATCCCAGCAGATGGAGGCAGGAGAATCAGTTCGTTCAAGATCACCCCCCAGGGCTGGTGGGTGGTGGCCTCCGCTTTTAATCCCAGCATACAGGAGGTAGAGACAGGCGGATCTCCGTGAGTTGGAGGCCAGTTTGGTCCACAGAACGTGTTCCAGGACAGCCAAGGCTACACCGAGAAATCCTATTTCGAAAAACAACAACAAAACAAAACAAAAAAAACCTCCCTCCGTCAGTCTCCTTGATAATTGAGATCCTGCTTCAAAAAAAAAAATCCCCCCCCAAAAAAACCAAACACAAAAAACCAATAAGCACAAAGATTTATGTTCTTGTTCAAAACCTTTCTCGTCCGTATTCTATGTCCTTGTGCTACCTTCACCACCCCTGTTTTCCCAGCGCAAGCCTTTTGTTGAAGTCCAGATCACATTCCAAACGGGGTCCTCTGTCACTCAGGTTCCTCAATCTGCTTTTCTCACTAACAGTCCCGCTGAGCGCCCCACCCAGCCCCAAGTTCTGCGCTTCTTATCTCTGTCTCGTCAGAAGGTAAGATTTTTTACAGCTGTAAAGAGCCGCCAAGACCTAGTTTCGGTGAGGAATTCGAGACGTGCCTTTCTGACTCAGTGGCCATGGTGACCTGCTCCAGTAAGGACCAGGACGTCCTTCATCTAGCCAGGTGCTTCTCCTGGGAAAGTCGAGGGGCCTGAACAGGTGTCCTCCCTAGTCGGAACCCAAGTCTGGAGGTGTGGGCTGCCCTCTCGCCGTGAGGTCAGGCTGCTGACACTAGGGTAACCCTACCACGTGCGTCTTGGAATCCTGGAGCTCCAGGTGACGGGGGATGGGGAGCAGCCAGCGGGACCCACACGGCCGGCCGCGCGCGTTAATCATTAGCCACACGGACGGCTGCCTCCAGCCCGAACCCCAGCTCGCACGCCGCGCCAGGAAGGTTCCCGGTGCCCCCACTGAGCCGCCAATTGCAGGATCGCAGCCGCGAGCACAGTCTCCACCCACTGGAAACATTCCTGGTCCGCCCCTCCCTGGCTCCCTCCCTCCCTGCCTCCCTCAATCCCTCCCTCCCGCGGCTGCCTGGGCTCCGTTCGGCCGCAACTTCCTGCCGAGTGCTGGGGAACTGTGCGCGTTTCGGGGACCCCCGAAGTTCTGTGCTCGTAGCGGGAAGAAGCTGGGACTTCGGGACGGCCAGCCGTGGGCGGGAGTGGCCAGCTGCTCCAGTCGCTTCCGAGAGCGACTTTCAAACTCGCGCCCGCTTTGCGGCGCCACCTGGGCAGCTCCGCGTTCCCTGCGCGTCGCGAGCCGGCAAGCCGGCGGGGTGGCCACCACTCGGTGAGTGTCCCCAGGTTTGCCCCTCTCCCTTTGCCCGTGTGCGATCGGTGGCACTCTTCGGGGTGCCCCAGGCTAACCTTCTGTGGGATGAGGACCTGGTCCAGGGCTTCCTCGGACGCACTCGGAGGAGGTTGGAGCGCGGGAAGGTCGTAAAGGGGAGTCACTTTTTGTCCCCACCCCGGAAACCAAAGGAGCAAAGGCTCGAGGTGGCTTCGCCGAGTTTGAATTCCGGGCAGCTCTCGACGTTCCCGCCACTCCATTCCCTTTGAGTGCACTGGCGCCAGTGAGTTAGTGCTTGCCCGGGACTGTGAGACCTTCTAGAAGGATTCGCCTCTGGTCCCGTGAGCCCAGGAGTGCGTAGGCACTCAGTCTGTTCCGGGTTGGTGCCACACAGTGCTTGCTCCTGGGAATCTCAGTTGCCTATCAGGGCGGGTTAGAGTGGGTGCCAGAAACGGAGTGTCCAGGACCTGCAAGCCTAGAGCCCCTCTCTGGCTGCTCCTACAGCCTAGCCCTCCCACACTTACAACTGGTTTAGGTATTTGTACCCTGCTCCCAGACCTTCGATTTGGGAAGCTCGGGCCAGGCTTGCAAGCTTCAGTTAGTTGTTCAAGATGCTGCTTCGGTGGCAGCATTTACTCTGGAGCTACTTTTGAAAACAAAGGGGGGGAAAAAAACCCCGGAACGAGCCATGGAATGGTTGTAGGGTGGAAAAAAGCGGCATTGTGGGGTGGTGTTGAAGATTGGGTAAGAGCATTCGTCTCAGTCACTCATTAAACTCTTGGTAGATGTAGGGGCTGTTAGGCTTCTCTGAGCCTTCCCCCCCCCCCCCCCCCCCAGAACCGACCGGCACCGTAGCACCTTACGGAGAACCCTAGTCTTGGGTTCCCGGTCTCCCAAGCCGTGCTTCTTCACACATGCCAGTCACATGACCCTTGCTCAAGAAATAATTAGTATGGAGAATAATGACAGTCCAGAGAGAGAGAGAGAGAGAGAGAGAGAGAGAGAGAGAAGATGCTTCCTGCTGTGTCTGGCCTTCCGAGAGTTCCTTTCTGTCCCTCCTTTGCTAGACTGGAATCTTGGGTCATGAAAGCTCAACATAAAAACCTAGGGACTAAACACCAGAAAGTCAACTCCTCTGTTACTATTATTCCTGTATGGTTCTGGGCTTAGACCTCACCTCCCATTTGTCCGGGTACTCTTCACTTGCTGGCTGCCTCTGCTGGCCCTCCCCTGCCAGGCTTATCCACGTGATGCTGGGAATTGGGAATGAAGTGGGGGCCTTTCTCATCCCTCCACTTAGTCTGGGCTGATAAGGGTGGGCTGTCTGTTTTAGAGCGGTGGCCCAGCCAGGAGAGTGGGAGCCCCACTGGACTGAGAGTGTAGTGAGTTTTTGCCGGAGGTGTAATGCTGACCCTATTGAGTTACAGCGAAGATGGATAGTGCTTTTTGCATACATAATTCGCCCATGGCCAGATCCTATTCTCTTCCCGGTTCGCTTATCTTTTCTGACTCAGTTTCCTTACAGAGTACCTGTTTTTCTTTATAGGGGATGTGGTAACGATCAAAAGAAGCCCGTGTGAGAAGTACACCATACATTACTATAAAAAAAGAATCACTGTCTAGTGGCCAAGGGGCCCCGTCAGTGTTTGCTGGATAGGCCCCATGCATCATAACACAGGACATCAGGAGCGGGTGGCGGGAGCTTACTCTCTGGCTCATAATATCTTAGCCTCAGAGTAAACATTGGCCTTACTAACTCCACTGCTATCTCAGGGTCACTGTGTTTACACCAGAACAGGCCAAAGGCCATGGCCTGCGAGATGACCAGTCCTGGGCGGGGAGACAGTGTGGGTCCCAGATGTGAGGCCTGCTCGCTACTCCCACCCCGCCCTGAGAGCCCCATGCAGGCTTTGGTCCCCAGACGGGAAGGGTGCTACAAGCTGTGACAGGCCCTGGAGGGTTAATTGTGAAGTCTTTCTCTCTTGTGCTAGGGTGGGGGGGACTGTGGAGATGGGAGGCGTTGCTTTTGCAGCTGCACTGAGGGCTGACTTCAGCCCAGCTATCCCTGGCCTTCCCTCTGTCCCAGGCCATTGCCCTGTCCCGCCTCTCCGGCCAGCTGCATGTCCACAGGCCTTTGTTCAAGAGCTATAGCCCGCCCCACTCATTACTCCCCCAGTTTCTAGAGGCCTTCGGGCAGGGGGTTTGGCAGCGAAGAATTACAACTGACAATGGAAAAACCCTTCGGGAGTTCCCAGGGTCTGACAGACCTGGCAGGCTCATCCTGGGACCCCCATCCCTCTCCAGTACACACTCCTTCACTCTCCTTCCTCATCACTCCCTCCTTACACTCGATTGTCTCATATCTATTTTATGCATTCACCCATTATTATTAGCATCTTCTAAGTGTGAATACTGGGCATTGGGGACACAGCAGTGAACGAAGTCTGGTTTTCAGTAATGGTGGAGCTGGATTCTACTAGGGGCAGCTGACAGAAAACAAGATGTGTCATTGAAGCATCTTGGAGAAAGTCAATGTGAACTGTCATGGAAGGCAGGAGACAGTTGTTCCCTAAGGAAGGGACTTTGGAGTCATTTAGCCAGGGGAGACATTTTCTACGCACTCTGGACGCCTGTCCCTTGAAACCCAGGTCGGCGTCCTGATGTGACATTTAAGATCGGAGGTTTGCAGTTGGGTGGACCTGGATTTAAACCTTAGCTCGGCGGCGGCTTCCTAACCCTGCAGCAATCTGTGGACTAACCCCTTTGAGTCTGTTTCTCACCTGTAAAACGGAGTTAGTCATCGCGCCTACCACATGTGGCATCGTGAGAATGAGCAATGAGATAACGCGTCTGCGGTGTTCTGCGAGCCCGGTGGAGCTATGCAGCCGGTTCTTTCTCTCTCTCGCCGAATTCTCTCGCCGAATTCCACAGACAGAAGTAGCAGTGATATTTCCTGCCAGTGCGCTCACCCTGGGTGAAAAGCTGTGCATTTGCACTTTTAAGTGCTAGGATGGACGGGAATTCAGAAGGAGGGTAACTAGAAAGCTTGAGTCAATCTAGACCCTTATGCGACCCTGGACGGCAGCCGGTTGGGGATGCAAGACTCCCATCGGATGTGTGCTGGCCACTGTCCCTCAGATAGATAGGGTGGCCTGTCTTGCTATGGAATTCCCCCTGTATCCAATCAGCTGATGAATCACACCTTTGTCTTTAGCCTCTTCACTTGGCCTCAGTCCTGGAGGTTCTCCGTCTGTCTTCATCTTCACGGCATAGATATGTTATATGGGGGTGGGGAGTGGGTTAAGAATGGGGGGGGTTAGGGAGTGGAAGGAGAGGGGGTTGTGAGTAGGCTGTTCAAGGAGAGTGTCCAAGGATGGCAGGGCAAGATAGAGGTTCTGAGGCACCCTGCAAAGACTTTGATAAGGGCTCTCCAGGGACCACAATGAGTTAAAAATGTAGAGGTCAATTTATGGGAGTCCTTCTACCACGAGGGTCCTGTGGATCAAGCTTAGTCCATCGGGATTGGTGGAAAATGCCTTTATCCACTGAGCCATTTTGTTGGCCCAGAAATTAGCATAGCCTTGTGGTGTTATCTAGGCTGCCTTCTCTTTCCTGGGCTCCAGAAATTTCAACTCTCAGAATTGCAACTGGCTGGACTACAGAGAAGCCCAGGGTCAGGCGTGTGCAAATCTAAGCTGTCTCTGCCCAACCCATGTGATGAGACTCTTCCCCTCTCTGCTAGAACCACCACCCTCCTCCAGAGAGGTTTAATCTAAAATGCTGTTGCCAAAGCTTGTGGCCAGCGGTTTCCTGGGGGCCCTGCTCCTGTGCAGGAAGTGGAAGATGGGCTGCGGAGGGGCCAGGCCTAGGGAAGTGGTTGTCAGCCAGACCACTCCTCCGAGGCCTCTGCAGGCACACACATGCACAGCCGGGCCCGCCCTGTGATGAAGGAACTTTTGGAGACTGTCAGTTGGTATAGAGCCTCAGAGGAAGTTAGAAAGAGGGCCCTGCGCCCCTGGCATGTTTGTGACTTTGGTACCTTGAAGTCAGAAAGAAGGTCCAGTGATCCACAAGAGGCTATCCTGGAGATGCTAACCATTCCTCTGATGTCTGGGGACCGGCATGTCTTGCTAACTGGATATGGTTTGTTGGGTTCTTTTCCCCCTTTGAAACCGGATCTGACTGACCCAGAACTCTTTTCTTTATGCCCTAGGACATTTTCATCTTAAACTTGCAGTGGTCCACTTACCGTTGTGTCCCAAGCGCTGAGGTTTGTGCCGTCATGCCTGGCCTTGCTGGCTTGTTTTGATTAGAAGCTCTCTGAGAGCCAGAATAGGGCTTTGCTTATCCATGTCCTCATAAAGAAGTGGGAATAGCAGAAAACATGACCTATGGGGCATGACTGACTGGTGCGGGGCTCCATCTGAGAGGAACCCTGGCTTGGGGGTCTCATCTGCTCCAGGACTGTGTGAAGAAAGCAGGGGTGGAGTCCACAGTGGGTGAGTGAGCTGTTGCCGTCTGAGAAAGCCAATTGAAAGGAGACCAATAGCTTGATAGCTGTTTTGGCCGGCATTTGGAGACGATGCTTGTATTTAATGTCAAGGACTAGGAAGACCTCCTAGTCCATGATGAACAGCCTCAAGAGCTGAACGCAGAAACTGAACCGGGTTCTAGAAGGTGCTGGGTACATGCGGCTTTTTTTAGAAACAGAGTGAGAATCCTGGGAATTTCTCTGATGACTGCTGGACCCTGAGTTGAGATGGGAGAGAGGAAAGGAGGAAAAAGACTTGAGGAAAAAAGTCATGTTTTTGGTGTGTGTGCACGTGCATGTGCATGTGTGTGTGTGTGTTCAGAGGACAGCTTGTGGGAGTTCTTTTCTCTACCGTGTAGGACCTAGGAATTGAACTCACGTTGTCAGGTTTGGTGGCAGGTGCCTTTACCCAGCGAGACACTTTATTTTATTCTACTCTTGACCCCAAGGGGTTATCCAATGCTATCTT